TAGTCAGGCAGTCTTGCTTTTAAAAGTATTAACTGTATTTGAATAAAAAATAAATATTTTCCTTCTTTAATCACATGCGAAATGCGCTGTACCATCACGTCGTACCTTAAGGTATAGGAAATGCAGTAAAATTGTGGAGTTAGCTTACCTCGTTAGCTTCCTGTAGGACCTCAGATGTCAGCACGGATCCGTTATTCTTAGCAACAACAACGGCCATTAACAAAATGCCTTTGCCATTATGATTAGCAAATTCTTCCTGTATAGCATATTCTTCACGTGATCGTGCTCCGTATGGTATATAACCCGTCATGTCATTTTTGTAACTGAAATTTTGCAAAATCTTAAAACTGTTGTACCAGCGAGGCCTGCCGGGGTGAGCCAGAATATCAAGGTTTTTCCGAGAGCTCATTTTTTGCTGAGAATACATACACACATCTGTTGCAGCTGGATTAAGCCTGATAAGCTCAGGTATTAGCTGTTTATGTGCATGCTTGATAATTTGATGAGAATGAGCAGCAACAGATGGAAGAAGCATGTTGTTCAATGATGCTCAGGCAACGGTAAAAGACCAATAGGAAAGCCAGCACTAAGATGGGAGTGACCACTTGAATGCATATACAAAATTAGCTTAATTTGATAAGCTCAAAACAGAGAAGATCGAAGAACAACAGTTATTCAGCAGCAGCCAGTCGAAGAGACAAGATATTTGATAGTGTACGAATCAAACAACCAGATGAAAGCCAAATGAGACGAAGTTTACACAGATTTGGTAAAAAACATCATAAAAATCAGCCTCCTTCCTTATTTCACAATTTTGGAGCCGTCTGACTCAATTTTTTTTTGGCGCTTTTTTGCGCTTTATGCTGCAACAAAACGCATGTTATCAAGGCCCTTCTTCTGTATGTGTGTGTGCTTGTATTTTTGTCTGTCTGTCTGTGTTTACACGTGTGTTTCGAGCGCATTTTATTCATAAGTTATGTTACGACTCGGCAATCGGAGAAGCTAGGAATCTGAAATTTCAAAAAGAACTTTCTACCCACTTGTGAACTCGCAAACTACAATTCAGCGTGTGCACGCACCTAGGCTTCTCGTATGGTCACGTGAAAGTTTTGTCGCCTAAATTAATAACTCGGGAAGCATGGAAGGTAGAAAGCTGAAATTTTTGAAGAATGTTACTTGCCCGCATGTGACCTGCTAAGTTAAATTCAGCCTTCACTTGAACCTTGGTCTCACATACAGACGTGTGAAAGTTTTGGTACTAAAACTGATAACTCGAGGACCAGGAAAGCTAGGAGGCTGGAATTTTAGGGTAATTTCCCTTGCCCACGTATGACCTCGTGAACATAAACTATTTATTTTTTCAATTTGAAAGCTTAGCGTGCCTTTGCTTTTAGAAGTGTTCTCCAATATAGCAGCAAAAGACTCATGACTGGAAGGACCCGCACGAACGGCTAAAAAAAAAATAAATAGTTTAAGAGAGAGAAGTGCATAATGAAAAAGAGAAGTTGCCAGCGCTGCATCAGTGGCGAGAAGAAACGCGGCAATGAAACAGCAGCTTGCCAAAACACCAAAGTTAGATCATAAAATCGTCCTGCAGTTATATGTTACAAAAGTCTCCATTTATCAGAAAAAGCAGGAACTAATAAG